AATATTAAGGTTTACAACTCAGTGGAAATATGCAGTAATGCAATCCATTTCCTTTGTCTGGATGACAAAAATGCAGTCTTAACAGTCACAAGAACCCGCCTTGTGTTAGCTATAAAAAAAAATATATTTATATATATATTTATGCAACTACTATGTGCATTAAACAAAACCACTGTATGACTCAGCAGGGTTCAATAACACTTGTATCTGACTCTCTGGAAGTGGAAATATGCAGTAATGCAATCCATTTCCTTTGTCTGGATGACAAAAATGCAGTCTTAACAGTCACAAGAACCCGCCTTGTGTTAGCTATAAAAAAAAATATATTTATATATATATTTATGCAACTACTATGTGCATTAAACAAAACCACTGTATGACTCAGCAGGGTTCAATAACACTTGTATCTGACTCTCTGGAAGGGGTGCATTGAATCTGTGGTGCTTCTCAGTAAGGACTCACAATGAAATGGCAAAGGATAGAAACCCATTTATTTTAAATCTTACTTTTTCATGTCACATTGCCTAAGAAATGGTCCATAAGCTCTCTGGCAGGATAAAAGGATCCACTGCCTTTACTTCAGCCTACTGCTCAGAAATGAAAGATATTCCTTGAAACAAACTTGATAGTTCATTTTTTAGTGAACACTGAAACAGAAAATCAGCCAAACTTCATTGTGAACTCCCATGAAATCATTTCACCATTGTGAAAATTCTCTGTTGTCTTCATTTCTTGCCAATTTGTATATCATGAGCTGTTTAGAAGGCCTAGTAATCAACAGTGTACAAGAAACATTGTACTACTCCTGGAAATCATGTACATTGTGACTCCCTCAGTTAGGTGGGTAGGTTAATTTGGAATTGAAAAGTGAGTGCATTTCACATCCACTAATATAAATATTGAAAAATTCCTTTTTTCTTCTTTACCTGCATTGAGATACTTTTCTCAATCACTTGTGGACACTGACCAGTGACCTTTGCACTGGAAGGGTACAGATATGTCACTCAGTCTTTGAGATACCAGAGAAGAACACTTGAACCAAAGGGCAATACCCTTGTGCACCAAAGCTTTATTATATTTCTGATTACTGTGCATCCCCATACCTAAAGCAAATAACATGGCACTTGTGCCATATTTCTGATACCGCAGGTGTCCACTGACAAGTGTTCTGTATGAACCATTGTGTCCCAGTCCACTAACAAAAACTACCGTGCAGCAGTAATCTGGTATCTTAGATAGTTTTTCTTCTTGGACAAAGCTTATCCAGAATCTTCTTTCTATCAGGCTACAGCAGCTTAGGGCTCCTTTTCTTTAAAGAGAGGCAAAATAAATGTCTTACACCGGTAGGCCAGTACTGGTGTTCTGTCCCAGAAATTTTAGCATTGCTCTGATACAATGAACCCTTCTTTTTCTCCAACTGGTTCCACTTCAGCATAGGCAGGATGTCCAGATCCTCTTCTGAATTTCATTGCTGGCCATCTGCTTGGACGTCGCTGCAACAGCAACAACAGAACACACTTTCAGAATACAAAGGGTAGGGGAATAAATTATTAAGAAAAAACTTTAACAATGCTCTGCAAATTTGATCTCTCACACCAAAACCAACAGCCTGTAGTTGTTATAGAAATAGAAAAGCACGGT